GTTTTTAATAATTCAGAGATGATCATTACAAGGGCCAAATGGCCGAAATATATAAGGAGGGGAGAGGAGGGAAAACACACAATATAATGAATGCAAATACAAGGAACCTTCCTACATCCCTTTATCATTCACTAGCTTCCAATCTTGAGTTGATAAGGGCTGATTTTGTTTGACTTTGTCTTGGCTTTGGAGCTGGCTTTGTCTGTCCTGTTGTGGAGGCAAAAATCACAAAGAATGAATGAAATCCTTTGATGATTGTGGTGGATATTCTGGCTAAAAAGAGGGGACAAACAAAGATGGGTGATGGATGGTGTATTGGCCTTATATTCTTGGTCATATGAGGTGACTGATTTAGTAGGTGGTGTATCAACAACAACTCAAATGTCCCTTGGCTTTTTGTGGTTGTTTATTCGGGCCTAGTAGGGAACATAAAGGGGACAAGAATGGGGAATATCTTGGTTGATGTTGTGTTGGGATGATGAGGGATATTTGGCCTGGGATTTATAGAAAAGGATAGAAGGTTTTATTTGTTTATTAAAAGGTTTAAAAGAAAGAAAATAACAACAAACAAAAGGTTGTGGTTTACACACTCTTATTTTCGGCCAGGGCCTAAAATAGGAGTAGGAAAACTTTATTTTGAAAAGGAAATATTTTGGATGTTTAGGGAAGGTATGGAGAGTGTGGGCTCAGCCTAGGGTGGGTGTAGGACAATCATGGTGTTGGGTTGGGTTCTAAGACAGGAAAATGGAAAAGTTTCAACCCAATTAATGTCACCACATTTGGGCTTTATTCCCCTGATCTGTCTTTCCTTGGCGGGCTACGGAGAGTCTTCGGGCATGCTCCCGGATATATATCAATTTGTGAGCTGATAAACTGGACAGCTTTATTACTTTTCAACACTTCTTAAACTCTATAAAGTCAAACAATGAAGTACGGAGAGCATAGTATATAATACTCCCTCTGTCCAAAAAACTTTACCCACTTCACTCTTTTGGATAAACCCTTCACACTTTATTTCCCTTTTTAGTAATCAACTATGTGGCTCGAAATATCTCCATATCATTAAACAAATTCTAACCATACAGTTTTCACACTTCAATACTTTACTTAAACAGTGAGTCAAAATGGGTTTAAACAAATTGGGACGAGGGAGTATAATATATGCCCTCCATCCCTAAATAAACTTCAGTTTACCATATAGAATGTTTGACCAAAGTTATGTTTAATTTATTTGAATATTGGTGTAAAATTAAAACATAAAACTTACATATTTTAAAAGTACATCAAATTGTTCTTCAAAACAAGAAGTGACAACATATGTTATTCTAACAAATGATTCAAATAAATAAGTAAAGAATGAAGATAGAGTTTGATCCCATAAATACTAAAAGTGAAGTTTAACTAGGGACAGATGGAGTATATTATACAAAATAAAATAAAATTTCATGTCAATTCAAAAGAAGAATTTAATGTCCATTTCAAATGTATTAAACTACTTTAAATGTATTTGAATATTGATGTAAAATTAAAAAATAAAACTTAGATATTTTAAAATACATCAAAAGTTCTTCAAAAAAAGAGGTGACAAGATATGTTACTCTAACAAATGATTCAAATAAATAAGTAAAGAATGAAGACAAAGTCTGATCTTATGAATACTAAAAGTGATGTTTAACTATGGATAGAGGGAGTACATTATACAACAACAACAACAACATTACCTCAGTGCCTCAACGGCTCCCGCCCATTGCAGGATAAGGGGAGATTGGATGTACGCAGTCTGACCCCTATGTTTAAAACATAGAGCGGCTGTTTTCAGATGCCCATGATGAGCGTCAAAAGTTGCATTAACTAACTACTACTTCACAATTGCAAAGAGCGCATACATTTTAAAGAGGCAATTTGCTTTATTCCATCATACCCCAAAGCCAAAAAATAGTGAATCTTTGGGTGAGAGGGGAATGGAAATTAGGGAGTACATTATACGAATAAATAAAATTTCATGTCAATTCGAAACTAGAATTTAATATCCATTTCAATTGTATAAAACTACTAACTCTAGCAAAAGGTTGTAATGTGATTCATGTGACCATTATCTCAAGAACGAGCCACAATGGCAAGTTTTTAATTCTCTACGTAGGTTTTTGATTTCCCAAATCTGATGCAGCTTTTTAAACTAGGAAGAACAGGTCGGTTAATTCGGTTTTTAGGTCAAAATTGATTCTAGGTGTCACCATGAATGCCTAATCAAATCTTAAATGGCGCCATTCAATGCCAAGCGCTCTTCAAGCAAATTGAGCTGCCTTGGTGATTGTTATCCACTGCCTAGACGATGTCATGACTAGTGCTGGATACTAGAGGCGGCAATCGGAACAATCGGATTGGTTCTGGTTTGGATTATTGCGGTTCAGATATCTTCCGAATATATGTTATAATCGGTTCGGTTTGGTTTAATTTCGGATCGGATTTAATTCGATTCCTTACATTTTCCGGTTCTGGTTCGCTTCCAAGTCAGTTCAGATATGGTTCTGATATCAGCCGGTTCGGATCGATTTTGGTTTTGGATACATTCCGGTTCGGGTATATTTTGGTTCGGATATACTTAAGTTCGGGTATATTCCAGTTTCGGATATATTTACATATATGTTAATTTTAAATTAAATTTTAATTACTTGTTTATTTTTTTATCATATCGCATTTATCAATCTATCATCAATTCATCAACTCATATTATTTAATATTTTTTCTAATGATACTCCCTCCACCCTAAATATATTTTATTTTTATCTTTTAGTCATATTTTATAAATTTGGATTACGAATTATGAAAAAAAATATTTAGTCCTTATTTAAAATTAATATAATTGGATTCCCAAATTACATACAATTTGGTTAAAATATGTTGAAATTGTGTGAAATTGAATGTAATTAGGTAAAAGTTGAGTGAAATTAAATGTAATTCAAAGTACATGTTTGGCCAACCACACAATATTGAGAGGGGGACGAAAAAATATCTTTCTAACCGTATTCTAGTTTGTATAAATATTAACTAAATTTTTTTATGCAAGTTGTATTGTTCATTTCTATACCAATTTATACATAAATAAATTTAAAAGATATTTTTTTCACTTTGTTTTGATATGATAATTCATTTTAGAATGCATGGAGTAAGTATTAAGTATATAACTAGTTCTAATGATAAAATAGAAGTAAAAAATTTGAAATCACAGAAATGTAATTGTTCATTAATGTACATAAATATACTATGTTTATTGTTAGGCAGAATCAATTTTGGATATAATCGGTTTCGGATCTTATCGGTTTCGGATCCTATCGATTTTGGATCTAATTGGTTCCGGTTTAAAATCGTGTATGGATATATTTAGTTCGGTTTTGGTTTGGATCATTTTGGTTATTTGGTTATAAATCGGATCTTCACTTTTCAGGTCATTTTGGTTTCGGATCATTCGGTTTGGGTAATCGGTTCCGGTTCTATTTTGCCAGGTCTACTCGATACTGTCTGGTTCCGGCATAGTTCACAGCCCCTGAATAGCAAGAAGCTTAACCGAACATTTGTAGGCAATTCCAGCTCCGGTTCTTAGGACCGGCTGTTTTGGTTGCAGTTCTAATTCTTAGGAGCAGAAGTTACGGTTCCTGTTCCTGTTCCAGTACTGGTTCTTAGGCCATTTTACACTATTACTTAGAGAGGTTCCGGTCCTCTATTTGATGCAACCAGAAACTCGTCAGTTTCGCTTCTTGCCCATACAGTTCTGGTTACAGTATGGTTTTAAAACCTAAGGGTACTTGTTCAGAACAGGCTCCACCACTAGACGTGACAATCATGATATAAATAACCATCGAAAGAGTAAGATTCCAAATCATTATCCAGTGAAGCTGTACAATGACTGTACGTCACCAATAGCAAATGTACAAGAGAGCTTTGTTATGCAGACCATACCATTAACCAAAAAGTAGAGAGGTTGTTTCCAAGAGAGCTCCGGCTCAGTTACTTTGTTTTTACAGTAGTACGAAAAGATTTTTGTTTTACACTGAAAATAAGAGATGCTCTCAGTGAATGTAGTCTATGTTACTAGTTACTACTTACTACTCCCTCCGTCCCACTATCTTTGTTCACTTACCTTTTGGCACACCATCCAATGCACTTCTTTAATCCATTTTATCTTGTAATTTGTATATTAAAAAATTATAGAAATTATATATTAATAATCTATATGTTAAGACAAATCAAACAAGATCACACATGACTATATTTAGGCTTACACATTGAGAGATTTTGATGAGTCAAAGTGCTTAGATGAACAGTTCCAAAAGTCAAAAGTGGACAAAGAGAGTGGGACGGAGGTAGTATTATACAGTAGTACGTAAGATATTTGTCTAGTACTGCAAAATGGATGGCACATAAAATAAAGAACCTATCTGGCTTTCTTAATATCAGAAAGCAGAAACGATTAGAAACCATAAATTTATGTAAGATCCTTAATATCAGAAAGCATAAACCACTAGAAACCATATAATTATGCATGAAAGACATCAGGACAAGGTTGGAATATACCTGTTGACTTAGGGGTGCAATTGGTGTCACAACCTGCCAGAAAACAAATGAAGACGAAAGTAGACGTCAGAAATTTTACAAAATACTACTTGCTACAATAACAAAGGTCATATACAATTTTAAGATCTCACTATTAAATAATACTAACAAGATAGTGTTACTGAACAATCAGGGGATCTTCAATAATTGGAATGAGTAAATGCAGCATAAACTGATAATTTTTTGGCTAAATGTAAAAATTATGTAAGAAAATGTGTTTGGGAGGGACAACGAAATATTGGTCAAACCATGGCATTAGCTTGTGTCAGGAAAACAATTATAAAGTGTAAGCAGTGTAACGATAAGTGGATGACATTAGCTTGTGTCATGTGTGTTTGACTATTTGTTATTGTGCAACTCCCTACCTCATCATTTTGACACAATTATACTCACATTCAAATTATTGCAGCTAAAACTAAATCCCCATATAATTTGAGCATTAACTTTGTAGAGGTGAATAGGGATATGTGAATTCATAATTTATTATACATCAATATAGCATAGGACATATGAAGATAAAGTAAAAGTAGCAATAGAAAAGTATGATATGATTCATGATTGTGTGGGTTTTGAGTCACTCGCTCTTTGTCATTATTCTGTTTAGTGTGGAACTGTGCAATCCCATTATTATGAGTAATAATTGTACATGTCATGAGAATTCATTTGGAGCGTTATTAAAGCCAGACTAATCAAACCCATTCTGGATATTTGTAAGAGCTTGATCTGCCACAAAGGGTCTAAATAAATGGGCCACCTAAGCTGATAGAAAGAGACAGCTAGATGGCACAAGTGGTAGAAAAATGGGTAAGCATAAAAAAGCTTCTGAGAAAAGATTTGTGAGTTCAGTTGTTTGGCATTCCACTGGGAGTTCAGGAGTGTCATTCCTTTGGAAGCTCAATTATTTAGAAGAGAAATATGGACCACAAATTTCTTTCCTTTTAAGAAAATTTGAAAAGCTTTTGGGGCAAGCAACAAATGAAAGTTGGCAGAGTTTTGAGCGGACAGATGGGGTACAAAAATCAAAGGCTAGCAAAATTTAGACACAAATCCCATTTAAAAGGATAGAACTTATGACAGATAAAGGTTAGCTTAGTTTACCTGGGTCTTTCCCAAGCGGGATTCAAGATCCACTTCATAATCCCTTTGCTTCAAGGGTTTTCTCTGCACCGGAGGACCTCTTGCTGCACAAGTATATCTTTAGTAAGGTAAAACTCAAACCACAAAATGAAACAATTTCTACATTTCATTAACTCTAAAATACTACTAACTAATAAAAACAGCCAAATGCCAAAACTCTATTGGGGTCTTGGGTGTCAAGATGTACACAAACCTTACCTCTGTTATGACAGAGACACTGTTACAGTTAGACCATCGATGCATTACTGCATTTACCTCCCATAACATCACACGAAGTAAGAAGCAGGGAATGTTTCATATGCCATTTGATTAAGGCCATTATTTACCCAAAGCTAAAACTTTGTAAAAACATGACTCTTTTAGTTCCATTGGCAATTGACAACAAGCTTTGAATTACCCTACACATATCATGTATGAAAGTGCCTCAAACGAAAAATGCAATTAAGTACGTAAAGGAAGCAGTAAACACTAAGCAGTGATAAGACTAGTTGCAACAAAGAAAAAATACATTTAAATTCTAAAATATTGATACAATTTGTGCTGAAGTTTTTGGATGAGTAGGACGATTGATGTATTGTTTTACTATTGCAACTACTCATCTTCTGTTACAGCTTTCTCCATGTACTCAGGTTGTGTTCCGTAACTTCCTTTCAACTTATTGTTCTGCTTATTACTTATTCATACTAAAATCCAGATCAAATCAGATGAGATCCAACTCATTTTTCTGCTTATTACTCATTCTTAGTGATGAGCGGAAATGACAATGCTTTGTTGGATGAGCGATCATATGCGTATGGATAGAATAAGGAATAAAGATATGAGCGCTAAAGTTGGAGTGACACCTATTATAGAAAAGATGGTGGAAACTCGTCTTAGGTGGTTTGGACATGTAGAGAAAAGACCAATAGAGCATCCGGTGAGAAGGGTTGATCAAATGGTGAATAGACATGTGGCAAGAGGAAGAGGTAGACCTAAGAAGACTTTACAAGAAGTGGTCAAGGGGCACCTTTGCGTGAATGATCTCATAGCACATATGATACATGATAGGGTGCAGTCGCATTGTTTCATCCATAGGGTGCGACCGCGTTTGTCCTGGGATAAGGCTTAGTTGTTGTATTACTTGTTCTTATTAATCGAGTATTTGACCGATAAGAATCAACGTAAAACAAAGATAAAAGATCATCTTACACTTTGCCTTCTGTCCCTCTGCCTCCTGCAACATGAGATGTTACGAATTGTAAGCATTTTGAACACCCAAAATCCATGAAAAATTGAAGCAAGAGACATAGAAAAAATTTAAAACCTTTTCTTCTCGTTCACGGGCACGCTGCAAGTACTCCTCTCGATCTAATTTTTTCCGAAAAGTGTTATCAACTCCAAGGACCTAAAGATTTTCCATTCAAAGCAAATTAAATAAACAAACATACATTTCACAAGATAATATGTATGCATGTTATATTTACTATACACACACATTGTATTTTAACATTTTTTGGGATAATTAATTAGGTATTTTCATATATTATAATTAAGGTACTCATATTTCTTGTCTAAGTAAAGACCATAAAGTAAGAAGCACATTAACAATCCAAATGACAAATGCTTTAATATGAGATACAATACTCCATTCCAAAACAAACTTCACCTTTTCTTTTAAGAAAAGGAATATGTGGTTGAAATTTTTCTTTTTTGTTATATTAAGAAAGAAAGGTGAAGATTATTTAAGGACGAGGGAAGCATGCATGCATGCATACATACAGACATATAATAGGGAATTAGGGATTTAAATACATTTGTTGTATGTGTTGTGTACACATAAACATACATCTATATAGCAGGGATCCACTTGAAAAAAGTTGTTAAAAATGTGAGTTGAGTCGTAGGGTTGAACAATCTACATCGCTCTTAGGATCAGAAAAAAATTGAAATCGTCTAGGATACGAGCTGGATCACAAAATTGAAAGATCACAGGTCGATTTGATCAAGCAAATGCACAGCGCCAGGTCGGGTTGGAGATTGTTTGTCAACCCTCATCTGCACCTTCATTTTACTCTTAATCTTCAGCTTTTTATGTGCACCATTCGGAACTTTATCGTTATTTTTCTCTATATTCAGCATCTTTGGTTACTCACGAAGGTTGTAGGGTGGGTTGACCTAAAAATTCACAAAATTGGGCTTTTACTTAAGCCTTAGATTATTCACCATGTTGTATCTTTAACATTAACCCTGTTTTTTCCATTAAAATAACGATTAAAAAAGGATTTTTTACTAAAATTATTAATTTGGAACTTTAACAATATCTATTTCCCTTTGTTTTTAAGATCACTCTCATTTATTAGCTAAACACCCTCTGGATTAACTTGTAAATAGATATTCTATATTTATATGGTTTGTGATATAAATACGCATATTTCATAACCTTATGTTATTTTAACTTATTAGAGTACAGATGAGTTACTACTTCAAATTTTAAACTTAAGTTGTATAGAGTTGGATTTTATAACTATTATCTATTAACTATGAGTCTAGGATCTTACAATCCAAGTTATGATATCTGACTTACGATTTACTGCCCCGCTTTAGATCCTATCTAGACTCTCGATCGAGCTTAACAACCTTGAACTTGAAGCAAGAATAAGATAAAACCACTTGCTTGATTGAGCACTTTAACCAAGGGAATGAAATCCATTTGATTAAAGTTGTGTTATGCCCCTCTGTGAGTAAAGAGGTAAATGATACACTAACTAAAAAGTTATAAGAAAAAACTGCAATATCACCACTGTTAATTACAGAAATAAACCTTTGAAAATAACTTGAACGGAGTATAAAACCAATCCAAAATTAAACATCAATAAATACTTGTTATCACCAAGTACCTTTTATAACCACCTCAAACTAGAAATTTTCTAAAATAATAAACTCACAGAGGCTGTCCCCGTGAATTCATCTTGGCGCGCCATCCGCAATCTCTTTGTCTTCCTAGGTCTTGGACTTACCCTTACCCTTAGTAATGGTTCATGTGAAGGAAAACCTGTAAGCATCATCATGCTTAATTAGTACTAAGAATCCATAAAAACTTTGAAGAAGTCTATAATAATTAAGAGATAAACACAACTAAAGTCTTATCATACTTAACATTCAATGTCATAAATTAATAAAAGTCAAAAGCATAACCAGATAGGTTAACTTAGGGCTTGTGACATGCACCCAACGACACCATCATCGATATCATAATAGAGTAACCCAATAAACCAATCAAATCTTAAGGGACTCTTCTTTCAGTGGGCATGAACACGTATAACTTAATCTTTCACTTTGCACATTAATTGCCGCTAAGATGACACAATCAGCAATATAACAAATACCTCAAATCTCAAGCAATAGTCTAATAAACATAAACTTGACCTTATATATGTGTGTGTGTGTGTGTGATTGTAGACACGCTCAAACACACACATATACATAAATATGTACTCCCTGTGTCCCCAATTGAAAACAAAATTTATATATTTAAAAACTACATCAAAAGTTCTACAAAACAAGAGGTGACAACACTAATTTATTTTATCAAGCAATAAATTTAAGGAAATAAATTGATTAAAATTTTACACTAGAACAGTGGGTGTGCAACTTGTTTGGAGACGGAGGGAGTATATAACTAGAAAACAACTTTTTCCCTCCAAAAGCACCATGCACTTCACCTTATTCTATCTTTTATATATTTATATAAGAATTGGCTTCCTCTTTATTTTTTCTTGGATAGAAAAAAAAATTAAATAGGATATTAGTATTTTATAATCTATTGGACATTTCAACTATTAGATATTTCTTATTATGAAAGAATATGTAAGTCACAATCTTTATGTTATACTCGGAGTAATATGTAAAATAGAATTACGAAATAGTCTAAATTTTAAAAGTTTAATTAATTTATAATACATATATGTTATCATTAGTGATTGGGGATTAATAATTTTTTCAGTCCATTTTTTTTACTTAGTTTCAGTTCAGTACCTTTTATTTGGTTCGGCATATGAATTCATTTTAAATTGATTTTTTATTTAATATTTGTTGTAAACCCAGTACTTTATTCATCATTGGTTGGGGTATTTATACATGCATGTGAGGAGGTAAAGACTAGGTAAATAAGGAAACAAGATATTCTAAATAATAAGAGTAATATATTTGTCATATTTAACACTCCCCCTCAGATATATCATCATTCATTATACACTAACATTATGCAACTGGATAATGTTGGCAAGATTCTTCAGGACCTATATTATGTATTAACTGATACTAATGGATCAGTTATGTTGCCTCATTAAAAATCTTACTAAGAAAACCCGGTGGGACAAAACTTAGTCAAGGAAAAAAGAGTACAACGTGTATAATGCTCCCCCTCAAACTAATTTATCTCCTTTAACATAGTTATTTAAGGCGTGATGCGCACCAATGCGCAAAGGGCTTCTAGCGCCTCGATGCGTGCGCATCTGATGCGTGCGCATCACGAACAAAATGCGCATATGTAGGCACAAGTAGCTAGCATCTCTAAATAAGTAATAACACACATAGGATGTTGAAAAGCATATGAAAATTTTAAAAAACCAAAAATCAAATTCAAACAGAACCATAGGCAAATTAAAAAAACAAAATGCAACTTATGAATCAAAATCAAATTCAAACATTACCATATTCAAACACCAATGAATAAAATACATCAATTTAATAAACAAATTGCAATTAACTATCTAGTGAAATTGATTAAAAACCAAAAATTTAATCAATGAATAAAAATCAATGAACCAATTACATTTAACTAACTAATAAAACCGATAAATTACAACTGTTTAATCAATGAATTAAAAAAAAGCAATTACGAGTATTTTACTGAGAGTACCCAAAAAAAGAGGTAGAAGAGAGTTTTTCGAGTTGGAAGTTTATTTAATTAAAAAAGCAACTAAAAAATTTAAAAGAACTTGAGATAGCTTTGAGACTGATGCTGAGAATGGGTGGTAGTCGAATGAAGTTCCAAAGGCTTTTGCAAGTTTCGAGGTGTATGAGGAAAGAGTTTTGATGAACTCTAGAGGTAAGCATCAACCTTATTTCTGGGAGTACTACTTATAAAATGTTGTATTAAAAAGTAATTAAAAAAGTTGTTCGTTCATGATGCGCGCATTATTGCGCCTCGCATTGCATCATATAAGGCGCATATGCGCGATATTGTGCGCGCCTCAAGAACGTTGCACGCATCAAGGTCAGTGATGCGCTAAGGGATTCGCTTCGCGCACATCACACCTCACGCACGCTTTTCACAAATATGTCCTTTAGCCTGTGGAGTGCAATCTTCTTTATGAGTTGCTCAAAACTATGTCTAGAAAGAGATTTGGGGAATAAGTTTGCCAAATTTTAGCTTGATTTAACTTGAAGAATATCGATCTATGATTCTATGTTGAAAAAAACTTTGGTGAGATGTGCTTTGTTCTGTCTCCCTTGATGTAGCCTTCCCTGATCTCAACTATGCATGCTACATTGTCTTCATATATAATTGTAGGATTCTTCTTAATTTCTTCCAAACTACATGCTCCTTGTATATGATCAATCTTTGATCTCAACCATACGCACTCTTGGCAAGTTTCACAAAGTGCTACCAATTCAGCTTGCTTTGATGTTGTTTCTGTTAGAGTTTGCTTTGTTGACTTCCAAGAGATTGTTGTACCGTTGTATGTGAACATGTAACCTGTTTGAGAGCGTGCATTGTGTGGATCTGATAAATACCCAACATCAATATGCAGTACAAGTTGGGACTTTTCATCTTTCTGATAGAAGAGACCAACGTGTCCCACAAATATATCAGAATATTTGCTTTATCCCATTCCAATGTCTACGTGTTGGGTTTGAACTAAGTCTTGCTAATAGATGTACTGAGAATGCAATATCAGGCCTTGTATATAAAAATAAATTCTTGGAGAACTCTAGGTTCTAATTTGCAAGACCTAATGGTTCATCATTTTTTTCGAAAGAAAAAAATTTCAAGTTGATTTTCTAAGTAAATTTCAAGAGTTTGAAAAAAAAACTTTGAACATCTTCACAGCCAAAAACCGCCATATCTCATAAAAAAATTATACACCTTCAATAAAATTATTAAGAAATGGTGTGGGGTGGTTTTTTTCTTATGATACAAATAGCATTGCATCCCATCATTTTCATAAAAAGAATACATAGTGTATATTTAAAGGTCATCCATCTACTAGATAATCAATGACCTAGACATATATAGAGTAGCATGCCTAAAGTTGAAATTGAGCACTATGGATGTAATCATGAGGAGTAGTCATTCATTAAAATGCAAAATAAATTGATCAAGTTTAAACATCCACATGTAAAAGATAGATCACACATGGAATAAATGCACTTTGAAAAACATACTGGAAGTTTCAAGAGAGAAAAAAACAGTGGAGGTCAATGTCCAAAATTTATAGCAACATAGTGGACCGTTTATGCACTTCAGTAACATACTCAGCATGGCACTTTGAGAATTTATCCAAAATTTGAGGAGTATTTTGATTATTAATTTGGCTTTAGGATGGCATAAGATCGAAAAGTTGCACATGCCGAAAAGAAAGAAAGAAAAAAAAGTGCAGCTATTAAAATGCTTTAGTTTCATGGTTATTTGTATAACTTTTGCAAATTTCCAAGGCTGTGATATTAAAAATTCAGCCTTCAATTTCAGAGGAGATTCCGGATATATTAAACAGCTACTGTCTTTGAATTTTATTGAAATCAGATTTAACCTCAAAACAGAAACAACATATACAGAGGCATAAAATAAAGAAATTCCCCCTTTATTAAAACAATGAGCAATTTCCTCAAAGAAAAGCAGTGGGTTATACACAGCCAATTCCTCCCTCAAAATCAGTTCATATTAGAAGAAATCATTTCGAGAAGAAAAAAATACAGAGGATAGTAGTACGCAAACACAAATCAGATTCCACAATATGGAATATATATGCAGAGCATACCATATTTGAGTTTAAAAAGGTTGAATCTGATATATTTGGGATACCTGGACTGTGAAGATCTGAAACTTCTGAAGAAGATTGGGAATTTTGAATAGTCAGTTCTTATTTCTTCTCTCTGTGCGGGACTTCTGAAGAAGAAGACCGGAAGCTGGACTTTTGGGGTCGGAAATTTGGAGAAGATCTGGAATTTTGGAATTCTCGCTTCTTCTTTCTTCTCTCTGTGCGGGTCTCAATTAAATTGACAAATTAACCCAAATTGATTGATGTAGACTCCGGCGAAGATCCAGCGATTCTCCTCCCGTTCTCGTCCGCGGCAAACAAAGGCGAAGACTGAGGTTGAAGATGACGGGATGGCGTTTGGACACCGACGGAAAAAAATCGCTAAGGGCGGAAAAAAATTTGTTGCTATGTTAGGGATTAGGGATGACAATCAACCCAATCCGATCTCACCCGACTTACCACTAAAATATCTGAAATTGAGATTGAAATAATTCGAATTTGATCCCAAAACGTTTACCCGAATCTATCGGATCAAGACGGGTGTGAGTTTATAATTTTATCCGATACGAATTTATACCTGAACCAAACACGAATATTTTATAACTTAAAAACCTATCTATGGATATAATGAGCACTACGCATAATCTCTCGACAAGGTGCTACCATATCAAGTATTCTTTTTATAATTCCTTAATAAAAAATGAGATACAAAAAATAGAGTTTTTCTTTTAAAAATTCTTGGGGTACGTCGAATTGATTATTGGTTAAAATACGGATTCGGGTTCAGGTTCGAGTTTTGGTTTTAAATGTCGAATTCGAGTCGAGTTGGATTTTTATTTTAAAATTCAGGTTTCGGGTCGGATTCTGGTTTCAGTTTTAAAAGTCAGATTGGGTTTAGGTATAGTACTATCCGACCAAACCCGACCCATTGTCATCCCTTTTCATAAATGAGATAAATGGTAATAAGGAAACAATATATTCTAAATATTAAGAGTAGTATATCTGTCATATTTAACAAAAGTTTACATTGCGTGTAATGTGTTTGACTGAAGTTATTTTCAAATTATTTTAGATGGAAAATAGTATTTAATTAAAAAAATAAAAATTACATATTTAAAAACTAAATGAAAAGATTTGCAAAATTATGGGTAACATGACTATATTATTTTATCAAATAAAAACGAAAAAAGGCCAAAAAGTGAATAAAGTTTGACCTTGTGAATAGTGTACGAGAACTTTATTGTTGGATGGAGAGAGTATTAAAATTGATAAACACAAACACAAGTTACACAATAAATAATGTTAAGGAAAATTCTTCGGTGGACCTAGGGTCCATAATCATTATATGAATCTTAGGGGCTGTTTGGCAACTTCTGAATAGGTAAATGCTGAACCAGTAAGAGGTCTAAATCATTAAGTGCTGAACCAGTAAGAGGTCTGAATCATTAAGAGCTAGTATATTGCTTAACTATTCAGGGGCAAATGTCTGATCAATTCATATAAGAGGTCTTAACCATTCAGACTCTGTATAATACTTAATCATTCAAAGGCAAATGTCTGACAGACATCTGAACCATTAAGAGGCTGAAACAAACAGTCTGAACCATAAGTGCTGAACCATTCAGACATCTGGACCATTAAGAGGCTGAAACAAACAACCCCTTAGTATATTTGTAATATAAAAGAAGTGTGCTTTTTCAAAAAATATTCACATGCAAGCTCATAAAAATGTGAGAAATCCACACTAACATCACTCTAATGTTAAAATCATATCCAAAATTTCAATTTCAATTAATCTTAGCTTGATGCACAAACTACTATTTTTAAAAAAGGAAAATTTACTAAAACACCATAAAGTATGGGCGATTAGAGAAAATACTATACCATGATGAAATTGGCCGAACATTACCAACTATCACTTTCGTTAGCCAAAACTAATAGACATGCCGCTGGAAGCCTGGAATATAAAAATATTTATAAATACTTTTCGTATAAACATATCAAAGTGTTAATGTTTAATCTTTCATTGTTGGTTGTATGTTTGTCAAAATTTTGCCCAGAAAAAAAATATATGTGTCTCCCATTAGTATATTTAATTTCACTTTTTATTCATCCACTTCATTGTAAAATTATAGAATTTGTAATTGTGAAAATAAAAAATGTATTATTTTTAAACACAACAAATGATAGTTACACTCAAAATAAAATCAACATGTTATGCATGAAAATTTTATTACTTTAACATCATTTATGTATATATAAAATATTCAGAGAAAAGCACCTATTCTACTGTTGGTTAATTCTAGCCCAGAACTTAGTTTAAAAAACGGAACACTTAGGTAGTTTTCATCAGTTTCTGACATATTACGTTAGTAATTACTGTTGTGTTTGTTTGTAATGGTTGTGTTGGTTAGTCCTCTATTTATATGTATGGACACATAATCCTAGACAGAAGTATCAGAATAAAACCCTCTGTTTTTATCCTCCACATCTAATTTTTTTCTCTCAATTGGTCTCGGAGCCCCAGTAAGAAAAAAAAATCAAATACAGATCTCTAATCACTAGTTTTCTTGTAGTACACAAGAAAAAGAGGATACAAAGACACATTTTAAGGACACATAATTTATGAAGTGTCCTTAAAAGCTTTTAATGACACAACTTATTAAAAATAGGTATAAGGACATCAATTAAGTTTTTATTTTTAAAGGTGACAATTAGGCATGTCATTGCAGTTACGTACGTGGGATACTTTGAGAAGGTTCACTTTTGTAAACTTTTAATTTTTTAAACAAGTTTTACTTTGTTTACAGTTTTTTTTTTGTTTAAATAAAAAATAGGCCGGAATTGAATTAGTGAGCAGCTAGGGTCTTCGTTTTTTTTTTGAAAAACTCACTAATTAATCTACTTTAATTCTTTTCTAAATTTTCAGGTTAGCGCCGCTCTAAATTCCCTCTTCGCACCAAAACTTCCCAGCCCGCGCACTGCAAAATTTTCATTGCTTCCGTTTCCCAGTTTGAATTTCACTCGATTTTCAGGGCTTAGATTCGATTCTTTCTTCCCTATTCACAATTCGTAGGGCTTCTTTTCAGACCCAAAAAATTGAGAGAAGCAATTTTTTTCCAGACTTAGACGCAAGTGCTGCGGTTGGATCGATTCACCTGCAATTTTTTTCAGACCAAGTGCTGCAATTTTTTTCAAACGGAGAAGACAAGCGCTACGATTCACCTGGGTCAGCATCGAAATTGCAGTTCTCACCTTTCTTTGATATCTTCTCTAAGGTTTTGCTCTACTCTTAAGTTCTAATCGTAGTTGTTTTTATTAAATTGTTTTCTAGAAATTTGAAGTGAACTCGTAAAATTTGTGAAATTTCAATGCTCTGATTATTTTCTGTGTGTTAACAAGAGTTTCATAATTTTTCAATTCATGTTTAAGTATGTGATTGTTGATGTTGATTTCAGTTTTTGGTTATTGTTATCGATATGAAGTGTAGCCTTAGATGTTCTCTGCTCCAGTAATTTATAAGTAAAATTACAGCTGTGCGATTTGGTTGTTTACTCACATACTATTTGTGGCTTCCTTCGAACACTTGTAGAGCCATACTTGTAAACATACTAAGACTTTGGATTCAATCATGAAACACAAGTGTGTCTGTACTGGCACTTTGGCGTACACAATGAATTTCTTCACAAGTAGGTAGCTTTGTTACAAATGATTACAACAGACCAGTCACACCTAGTAAAGTCCCACGTAATATTAGGGTACGAAGACCTTAGCCATACTAGTAAGTAGAGAGGTTGTCTCAAAGAGACTACCCGATTCAAATATAGAAGTACACAAAGAAACCACAATAGGACGAACGAAGTACGAACATTATAGTAGGGGTAAGTTATGACTGATTATGCATAAAAACTGTGGCAAGTAAACAACTTTCAATCGTCTTTCTATTTTACCATAAGTTCAAAACAAACACAGTTTGACTTAGGGCCATGTTCAAATTTATTACATTGTTGGTATTTTCCAAAAGATGTCAAATTTTGATAATAATACTATCCCAAAATAACAAAATCAAATCAAAGTTCCATTTTGGAAAAGGTAAAAATCAGACGGCAATAGCGTATCTTTTTATATAGAAGACAAATTCTTCATATCTTTGTCAAGAATAAAACCCAATATAATCACCAAGAGGCTGTTTCCGTTTGAACCTTGACACATTGCTCATTTGCCCACCTAAAACCTCATAGGAAGTAAGAAGGGAAGGAAGTTAAATGTGTCATTTTAGTTTTGTCCATTATTTTTACTTTTGATTAGTTGAGTATTTTGAAATTAAGTGTTAATTAACAAAAAAGGTCAGTTGCTCACTAGGAAAGAAAACTCAATTTCCTAAGGAGAACGTGGCACCCAAGCATGAGAATAAAAAGACTCAAGGACTACGTATAAAAATGGGTGGTATTCAACACCCAAATCTAAGCACCAAAGAGAGCAAGGTATGTCTGAAAAATGCATTCTCATATTGAAATTTTTAATAACATCTAACTTTGTAACTTTAATAATTTCATTAGCAAGAATGATATCAGTCACTTTTGTTTAATGAATCCAATATCTAGTATTTGCATTTCTATGCACATGAGGTAAGTGAAGTGTGTTTAATGTACTAAAACTTATACTATTTAAATTTATATGCTATTTATATTAGAACATATATTTAAAATCATTTTATAGGCATGTTTTGTTATATCCGGGCTTGGCCCTATCATACCCTCCCCCATGTCCCACACCCTCGCAAAAACCAAAGGACTTACGTTCAAACATTATGAATTCATTTTAATGAGAATTCCAAGTCCTTCAACCCGAGAGGCCAAAATAACTTCGGACCTAAGGGTTCTACCAACCAACTCCCACTCTGCCAAACCCCACCCTAAACATCCAAAGCTCCTTTCCATTTAATTCCTTTCAAACATAAAGTTTTCCTACACTTATTTTAGCATATGGCCGAAAATAAGGGTGTGTAAAATAAAACCTTTTGTTTGTTGTTATTTTCTTTCTTTTAAGCCTTTTATTCAACAAATAAAACCCTCCCTCTATTCCATTCACCCCTGGCCAAAATACACTTCACAATCCCAACATAAACACCCACAAAGAGCCAAAACCCTGACCCACCACTAGCCACTCATTCCTGCCCATGTTCCCTTACAAATAACCCAAACCTATAAGTCCAAAACCACACATTATATCCCCCATCCCTGCCCCCTTTTATTAGCCAAAAACAACCCCCATTTTTACCTAAATAATAGCCACAAAAACCCAAGAAACAACCACTAGGAACCAAAACACAAACCCCCACAACCCCAGCCCCATCCCTGATTTTATTCCACTAAGGAGACATGAATGAATGGCCAATACCCCATGCCTTGGAAGAGATTGTTGCAAGGAAGCTTCCCTAAGTTTACATTCAATGTATTTTGAATAATCTCCTCCTTCCCCTGCCTATATAACTCAGGCCTTATGGCCATTGTAACATACCTTTTTAATATTAAAACATTTTACTCTTTGAGTATTATTAAAATAGTGTGATGCTATTTTAGCCAAATTCCTAATTCTATATCTTAAGAGTGGTTATCTTAAGTGTGAGTTTTAGGTTCTAGTTATTTAATTGAGTGTGTCATATCTTAATTAAATTCTAGACTCAATCCCAAGTTAAGATAAGGGTGTGTCATATCTCTTAACACCAACTTGGTTTATCCCTTCCTTATTTTTATTCTTAAATTTCGTACCTCCCCATATTCTCTTCCTAAACCTCTTCTTTTCTTCCAAAAAAACACAAAAAAGAACTCCAAAAACACCTCCCATATTTCGCCCCATATACTTCCGCATTCATTTCCTCCACAAATTCATCACAAAATTAGCAACTTGATAAGACCCCCGGTTCACCCCTAACATGTTTGGTTAGTATTGCAACAAGAGAACAAGGGTCACTTGTATGGATTTGTTGATCCAAGTCACATCTCTCAATCAACTGGAAAAATTGAGGCTAGATCAAATGCATTATCACATAGATTTGAATCTGCCCAACTAGACCAGTTATTTTTTGCTCCTTATAATACAGGGTAAGTTCATGAATACGATGGTTTCACGCTAATTCTTTTTGGTAGTTCAAAAGTGCAATGATAGTAGGTTTACTGTTATTTAATTTTTTTGTTGTAGGAGTCGTTGGTTATTGGCAGTTATCAACCCTTTTGCGGCATTGGTGTATTACCTTGACCCGTTGAGTGACATGAATGTCAATCTAGGAATGAAGAATGTTATCGAAATGTAAGTATTTTTGTCTTTTTATACTTTTCCTTACTGATAAATGGGTGGAGACTATTTTAATTTTATTAATACAATTTATATGCAGTCCCATGAAGATATTTTATGCTCAAAAAGGTGTAAATAGTCATAAAAAAGTACATTGGCAAGTCACTCAAGTATGTACTTTGTTTTGTTTTAGTGTTGATCATGAACTCCTAATATGCAATGAACACGTAAATGTAAGCCATTTATCTTCGTTTTATAGTGTCCAAGTCAAGCAAGAGTTGAGGAGTCTGGATATTACATCATGAAATACATGAAAGATATCATTGGAACTCCCATCAATACAATTAAAGATAAGGTATGTACATATATTAACTTATTGGTTGGCTTAAATTTGCACTACTTTTGGCTAAAACTTAACTTTAAACCTGGGCTACTATTGGCTAAAACATGACCTTAAAGCTGGGCTGCTGTTGGCTAAAACTTGATCTTAAACTTGGGCTACTGTTGGCTTAAATATGGGATGCTTTTGGCTTAGTTTTTTTTTGTGCAGGTTGAGCCGGGGGTCTCTTGGAAACAGCCTCCCTACTTCCGAGTAGGGGCAAAGTCTGCGTACACACACCCTCCCCAGACCCTACTGTAGTGGGATTCAACTGGGTTGTTGTTGTTGTTGTTTTGGCTTAGTTTTATTTTTTTTTTTCTGTAGCAGCATCAACTTGAATAATACATACAGAGTACTATAATAATAATAAGAATAATACTAATAATAATAATAATGCTCAATTTTTCTTATACAATATATTTAGGGGAGAAGAACATTTGTAATATAGTGAGTAATGGTACTTTAAGTGTTAATTTATTTTTTGATGATAGAATTTACACTATATGGTAACCAATGTTAATTGTCTACTATAAAAAAACCATGTTTAATTAATTTCTATTACAACTTATACTGACACATGCATTATATTGATTATAAATATTTACCATTATTTCAGTTCAAGGAAAAAGATTCATACACTCAAGCAGAGCTTGATGAAGTTCGAGTAGAGTGGGCAGAAGTGGTTGACTCATATATCCAAGCAAATGAAGAGTAACTGTTAGCATATTTAGATTTGAAATAACATAGATGGATATATGTATATATATGTATATGATCGAGATTTGATGCCACATGTAGTGGTGTTTTTTTATTTAAGTAGATGTTTCATGGGTCAACTTGAATTGATTATTTTGTCTACTAATTCCCTGAGTTTTGGGATTTCCCATCTTTAATTATTAATACTTAATGAAACTTTGAATTAAAAAATGTACATATATAGTTGTGTGTCCTCTTATTGATATAATATGACTACTTTTAGATATTTTAAGGATGCACAAAGAGCGTCTTTGTATACATTAAATGATACATGCCAAGTATATGAAGACATATTTTTTGTGTCTTCTTATGGAAATAAGGACACTTTAGAAATAATTTAAGATGCATAAATAGTGTCATAGTTTATAATAGAGAACACAGTTTAAGTAATAAGATGACACATTTTATGTGTCTTTGTATGGCATTAATGACGCAAATTATGAAGCTCTAAGGGTGTCCTTGTATAGAAAAGATGACACAAATTATGTGTCCTTGTTTCTTACTTACTATGACTCCTTGATAGAGGACGCTTTGTCTTAGTGTCCTTAAATATAATAGATGACTTCTTTTAAGTATCTTCGTATCCCTTTTTTCTTGTAGTATACAATAGTCTGTGATGGAGGCAATCAATTCTAAAAAACAAACAATGTTGCTTTAACCCAAGTTCGAGATGGAGGCTCGACAACGTACCAATGTCTTGTACTCACTACATCAAATTATACGTCTTGGGCTATCAAAATGCAATCGTTTATGGATTCCTAAGGAATTTGGGATGTCATAGAACCACCAGATGCAACGCAGGTCGATGTCAAGATCTGGAAGAAGGCAAAGGCCTTTATCTTCAGGCACTATCGGAAGATATTCTGATGCAAGTAGCAGGACATGTAGAGGCCAAGAACGTGTGGGATGCACTCAGGGTGCGTTATCTTGGAGCCAATCGGGTTAAACAAGCACGAATCCAAACTCTGAACAGAGAGTTTGAAATGTTGAGAATGAAGAAAAGTGTGATTATTGATGATTTTGCAAGCAAGATTGGTAAGATCGTGTCTAAGGTTCTGGAGCTTGGATCGACAATCAAGGAGAAGAAACAAGTAAATAAGTTGCTTAATTCTGCCACAAACAAGTTTCTTCAAATTGTTGCCACAATAGAATAATATTCGGACTTAAATACTATGGCATTTGAGGAAGATGTTGGCAGTCTTAATGCCTATGAGGAATGGATTTGTAACACCTCCGACTCGTGAACTTGGTTCACCGTGACCCGACGCGCCAAAAGGGTTACTTAGATGGTATTAAAGACCATCCAAATTAAAGCTTTGATGAAAACACGTTAAAATGAAATCATTTTCATATTTATATAAATAAAATCCTTGGGAATTATTTCCCTAAAACCGTACGGAGTAGATAAATCATTTTAATTACGGAAGAAAAGAGAAAACCAAACACCCAGTCCATCAAGTAAGTGCAACAAGGGTGGGTTCAAGCCCGCAATATTTTAAAGTAATAATTTCAAACTAGTAAGAATCCACAATCGTCATCCATACATCTCCTCACTCTCGTGTCCTCTAGGATAAGCTTTAGGTTCAGCATGCCTACCTGCGTATAACAAAGACAACACTATACACTCAGCATAAGCTGAGTGGCAATCTAGCAGTAGAAAACATAGTAATAATCCTTATAAATACACACATATTCATACGTGTACTTAACATACTGAATTCATATAATGACCAGGTGATTCACTTAACGACCAAATGTACCATGCATGTGTATGAAGTACAAAATCCTCATAATGACTACATGATGTATGATGCATGAGTTAGCCGTGCAGGGACCCCTTGCGCTCCGATGTCATCCCACGAAAGCGATGAGTCATGCCTACCTTAGTCTCTTAACGAGACTAACAATAATGGGTGGTAACCGAAAGCCTGATTACCATATACGTACACAAATCCCTCCAAATGAAACATGATACAATTTGATAATAACTTGTCTTATTGAATATTGAGAGATATGGCCCTATATATAGGGAATACAAGAGTAATCAAAGTACAAGTAGGAAAGGAAAGAATAATCCTAGTAGGAAAGGAAAGAAGTATCCTAATTTAATTATACTTCCTAATATCCCCCCGCAAGCTGATCAACGGAGACGAGGGGCAGCTTGG